ATGCCGTGTGTAGCCGCGCGGCACGGGGTTTGAACTAGCCGGGATTTAAAAATGGCGGCGCCCGGCTTATGCAAATGAAGCCCGGGAAATTCAAATCCCGGGCTTCATTTGCAAGTGCGGTATGCATACATTACCCTCCTAGTTCGAATTAGGAGGGTAGTGTAGACATACCCTAAGGCATTCCAGCCTTTGGGGTAGGAACAATATTCTTCAGGGTTCATTTTAGCTGTTGCAGACAAATTCATGCAGAGGGTTCGGTGTGTTTTAAATTTGCCTTCTTTTCTGCCCCCCCAAATCCCGGGCTTCATTTGCAAGTGCGGTATGCATACATTACCCTCCTAGTTCGAATTAGGAGGGTAGTGTAGACATACCCTAAGGCATTCCAGCCTTTGGGGTAGGAACAATATTCTTCAGGGTTCATTTTAGCTGTTGCAGACAAATTCATGCAGAGGGTTCGGTGTGTTTTAAATTTGCCTTCTTTTCTGCCCCCCTCCCCCCCACCTTAGAAACTGTTCCTTGAATGGCCTAATTACAAAGCTCAAGTTGCTACCCAGGATGTCAGTTCTACACAATATTTTAGCAACTGCTCCCGCTGTGCTTGCCTAATAGTTGCCATAGTTGGAGTAAACCTCAGAACTTCTTGCACTGGCTAAAAGCTGTAAGATCAGGAGTTTAAATGCAATTAAATCGCAACTGCTGCTTCTGCAGACCTTCTTCAATCTGCTTTTACAGTGATGGGTATAGGCACTAGCACCTTCTGTGAACCCTGTGTAGGATGGAGGAGAATTTAACAGAGCTAAATTACCCACATCATACCCAGAACGATCTATACATATTGCACCATGTCCTGTGGTTTTTACATAGTCAAAACTGCCAAGGGAACTTTGCCTGAGTGAAGACAGCTTCATATGACCATTCCCATTGACAGGAATCACTGCACCCAAAACTAAAATGCAGCTACCTCTGGGGTAGAACTCGGCTACTACTTGACACCTCACAGCAACACTAACCAAAGGTACAGGACAGGAAATGGAGCACAATCCTGGATGCAATTGAAATGAAAGGGGGATTTATTTATCTTGATTTATTTGCAGAGCAACCTAGGTAAATTAGTTGCCATTCAAAAGTGTCATTTGCCAAAATGCTGCCATATAGTTATCAGTTATTTCCTCTTTTATGTACTGGGGAAAATACATGGCATCTCGCATCCCACTGCATACTAAGCAGGTTTAATAGGCAGCAGGTTTGAAACAAACAAAAGGAAGTTTTTCTTCACTCAGTGGACAGTCAACCTGTGGAACTCCTTGCTGGAGGATGTGGTGGAGACTAGGACTTTAACAGGGTTCAAAAAAGAGCTAGATAGATTCATGGAGGTTAGGTCCAACAATGGCTATTAGCCAGGATGGGTAGGAATGGTGTCCCTAGCCTCTGGTTTGTCTGGAAGTGGGTGACAGGGGAGGGATCACGTAAGGATTACCTGTTGTGTTCCCTCCCTCTGGGGCATATGGAATTGGCCACTGTCAGCAGACAAGTGGGCTAGATGGACCTTTGATCTGACCCGGTGTGGCCATTCTTATGTTCTTAAGCACTAACTTTTTAATGGCAACCATTGTAGAGCTAAAAAGATATTTAAAAGATCCAATGTGTACATTTCACACTTTATAATGGTTAAAAAGCTTCAGGAGGTAGCAGAGTTAGTCTGTAACAGGAAAACCTTAAAAAACAACAAAAAGCTCGTGATAGCATCTACATGTTTTGTTAGTCTTTAAGGTGCTGCTAGACTATTTGTTGTTTTATAATGGTTGTTTACATTGCTTCACTTCTGCATCTTGGATCATGAAAACAGATTAGTCAGTTTCAGTAGGATTTTGTCAATCTCCAGCCAATTTTTCTTGCACTAAGTTGGAAATGCTGCAAAGAATTGTCAGTGGACTCCGCATTTTATAATAGCTTATTTTTATTAAATCTAAATTTTGTGGGGGGATTTGATTCAACAGTTTCCCTTTCAAGTAAAGGACCTGTGAAAAATGTTTCTGTAGAATGGCAGAATGTGTAGGCGGTGGGGGGAATTCTATATTTTCATGCCAAATATGCTCCAGTGAATGTGCTTTAAGTTAGAGACATTTTCTCCTATTTTATATCCCCTGCAAAACTCCCCCTGAGAACTGAGACTCAATTTGGATTCTCTCGGTCATGCATCTTCCCCCACAATAAAAGTTTTACAGGTCAAATTACTTTCACGTTGACACTTATGTACCCCCATTGCCCTCTCTCCCTTCACGGGTGCAGATTCTGCTCCATTAACCAGGGTGAAAAGCAATGAAAATTCACCGTTCACAATCCACTCAGCAGCTAGGACTCAGCATACACACAGGGAGCAGAGCTGGTGAGTGAAAAGAGACCATTTGTACATCATCGTTTGAAGCAAGCTATTTGACGATCTCCCAAGACTATTAGGAATATGATGAAAGGCCTTTATTAGTCCCCTGTAGGGTTAATTCTGGTGCTGGAAGTGCCTCTGTTGGCATAAGGAGCCCCAGAAATCTGCATGCTTCTCCGAAATCCTTGGGATTGCACATTTTGGCCTGTAATCATGTGAGATCCAGAACTTCCCAATAGCTTGAGATTTCCAGACCTTCCTGTGTCCGGCCAGAAGGGATGCTATCAAAACAGGCTTCCTCGTCAAATCTGACTCACTCTTGCTTTGAACGCCTGCCGAGAGCCAAGCGCAGAGGGATGGGGAAAACAAGCAAATGTTACTCAGCATTTCAGGGCTTTCCAAAAGGATTTTGGGTCTGTTCCACAAAGTGGGGGAAGGGGGATGGAGAGGGCCTTTGAAGCCTTCCAAAAAAAGGAGAGAGAGAGAGAAATTTATCTATGCTAGGCCATATTCTACAGCGCGACCCCAACTTACTCCACTGGAGTCATTCCAAGATAGCAGAGCAGGATTTGGACCTTTATTTTGGGAGTGTTATGAACTTTTCTCAGAAAGGGCTGGCACATAAAGATTCGAAGCACACTTACCAGGAACTCCATCCCCGAAGTGCAGGGCTTGGATTTAGCTAATTTTTTACATAATCCAAATACCAGAATTACGATTAAAAAAAAACAAACCCTGATTTGAATACACAGAGATGTAAGTGTGAAGAAGGAAGCTTAATTTGCCTAAAATTAGAAAAACAGAACACCAGCACCACAGAGAGAGAGACTCACAAAACATACACACCAGACTTCCTGTCACTAACAGTGGTGGAAGTCGGGCGTGATTCTATTGATGTCAGAGGGGTAGTACCTTTGAAGTACTGGTGCAACACTGGGAGGAGTTCACCCATTATATATTGTCATGGCTCCTTCCCCACTCTGGCATGATAAATGCAGAAGTGGGGGCCAGCAAGTGTACCCCAAAGCCTAAGAAATCAGGGGAAAGATCATTTGGGAAATCTTCCCCCTAAAATAAAAATCAAGGCACACAATTAACCACTGCCAGGTTAATAAAAAGAAAAGAAAGAACTTTTATTATTACAACAATATTCCTGTTGCAACCATAATGACTAGATAGGAAGGTAACAAAATATACTCCTGGAGAAACTCCATGGGCCTAGAACTTAGTTACAAAGAAAAGCCAAAACATCTTTTAAGCAGTGCCAGATCTCAGATCCCATACCCAATCCTTAAAACAATAAAACCTAACGAAACTGCCTAAACTTTACCCTACTTACAGAAAATGAAGAATGGTGTCTTGGAGAGAGAGAGAGACATGCTTGTCCCTCTCTGTAGCTGTGAGACAAAAGGGAGAAAAAAAAATTCCTTTGTCCCAGTTTGAAAAGTCCCACCTACATTCCTATTGGTCACTCCACCTGGCTAGGTGTAGTTAACCCCTTAATCCCCCGGCTGCTGGCTAACCCTCTTAATCATGACATATATATTTATATATATCTCCCTAGATTAAAAACCAAACTATGTTAAAATGGACTTACGGGCAAGAACATGCACCCACAAAGGAAAAGAGTAAAAATACATTACAGAGATTACTGTAATTCTCCCAAACACCTGTATTTGCCAGAAGGGCAAATACATATGAAAAAGTCAGATGTGTCTTTGGCTGTGTCTACATTGGCTGCCTGTCTACACTGGCTGCGAGTTCTTGCGCAAGTACACTGACATTCTAATGCCTGAAATCAGGGCTTCTTTTGCAAGAACTATGATGCTCCCACTCAGGAATAAGCCCTCTTGCGCAACTGTTCTTGCGCAAGAGGCCACTGTAGACAGGCAACATGAATTTCTTGCGCAAGAAAGCCCGATGGTTAAAATGGCCATCACAGCTTTCTTGCGCAAGACAGCGTCTACACTGGCATGGATGCTCCTGCGCAAAAGCACATGCCAGTGTAGACGCTCTCTTCTGAAAGAGTTCTTGCACAAGATCATGCCAGTGTAGATGTAACCTTTCAGAATCAGTTTAATCTAATCTGTGAGCATGAATAATAAACTGTTTGAATCAGAAACATATAGCTTCAGAGGGGTAGCCGAGTTAGTCTGTACAGGATAAACTTAAAAAACAACAAGTAGTCTGGTAGCATTTGATAGACTAACAAAACATGTAGATGGTATCATGAGCTTTCATGGGCACAGCCCACTTCTTCAGACGATCAGCTGAATCCTATGGTTATTTCATGACATCAGTACGGATCAAAGTGAAAGGTGTCTGAGTGGATTTCTTTTGTGTGTAACCTTACCACCACATTTCCTGGGTTCATAGTGGTGGTTTTGGAATAATTAAATCACCTTCTGTACTGTGTTTTTATCCCAGTGCTCAATCTTAACTTCTTCTATACATAATTCTTTTTCTGGGAATCTCCCTAGATTTTAATAATTATTTAAAGTGAACCCTAAATTATTTACACGGACACTATCCAAAAAACCCAAAGGGAATGTGACCATGCAAGATTTTTAATGACTCGAAGGCTATGTCTATACTACGTTTTTTTTGCCAGAAGAGGCAATGCAAATGAAGCGCTGATTAGCATTTTGTCACGCTTCATTTGCATAATCTCCTCCGATACCTTTTGCACAAAAACATGTCCACATTGCCTGTTTTTGTGCAAAATTCTCTTGCGCAAAAGGCATCGGAGGAGATTATGCAAATGAAGCATGACAAAATGCTAATCAGTGCATTGCCTCTTCTGGAAAAAAACGTAGTGTAGACATAGCCTTTAAAGAGTAGCATCAACCTGAAATCATTGCATTTTGGCCTGAGGTGTAAGGGCAGAATGTTTGGTTGGCACTAAAACAGCCAGATTATGTTGACAAGTGAAAATGAGGGGACAGCTGATTTGCATCAGCAGAGCAAAGCCAGGGATGCACCGTGGTAAATCTAGCCTCTGATTTGGGATGGAGTGCTGTGGGAGTGAGGCCATGCGGGCGGATGGATGCACCGTGGTAAATCTAGCCCTTGATTTGGGATTGAGTGCTGTGGGAGTGAGGCCATGCGGGGGGAGAGGGAGGAGAGAAAGTGCAGGCCCCGTGTCAAATGTCTCGCTGCTGTAAGAGCCAATTCCCATGCTCCAAACTCCGCTGTCCAGGCACACGCTTCCTGACTGCTTTGGGCAGCACAGACACCAAGCTAACACAGTGTCGTCTTCCACTGAGGACATCTACAGAGGCGGGAGGTGTGCAAAAATGTTGGTGGTGCCCAGAATGCCCAGAGCCTGCACCCTTCCCCAACTCAAACCCTTCCCCCCATGTGCCTAAGGCTCTGAGAGGGAGGGTGGGTGGGTGATGAGTCCAGGCTCTGGGTTGGAGCAGGGGATTTGAGAGCAGGAGGGGGGTCTGAGAGGGAGTTGTGGGCACAGGGGGGATGCGGGGTGGCAGGGCCGGTCCACGGCATTTAGGCACCTGAGGCAGGAAGCTCAAATGACGTCCCCAAGCCCCGTCGCTTGGGCCAAAACTTTGAAAGGTCTCAATTCTGCCTTCTTCCTCATCTACTGTGCCACCATCTCTGTGCACCTAGAGCGGAGAGAATACATCTGCACCAGCACACAGTGTTATACACTCTGAGTCCTAGGGGCACCCCCCACAGCAGGGGCGGATGAGCGTGCCGTGGGGCCCAGGCAGAGCCGCGGGGCCCAGGGCAGCGAAATTTCGCGGGGCCCCTCCTTTGACACGGCGCATGTGTGGGGCCTCGGGAAGCGGAGGGCCCAGGGCAGCCACCCCCCTCGCCCTGCCCTAAATCCGCCGCTGCCCCACAGTCTGGCACCTGAGGCGGCCGCCCGAGTTCGACTCATGGTCACGCCAACCCTGAGGGGG